TCCGTCCGTCCCGGAGAGACACCCTTTTTTGGGACAGAGGACGAGAAGTTTTTTTTGTTTTTTTTAAATGAAGGACTAAGCAAGGATGGAAGCAGGTTTTCGTCCGTCCCTGTAAATCGTCCCTAACAGGATTAAGTACGTGGTGTTGGGAGGCAAAATACCACAGCCAGAGTGTGTCATGATCCTATCATATTGGCTTTGTTTTTGTTTTGTTTTTTTTACAGTGGGCGTTCCCTCATGATTCGTTCCCTAGCTGCCTTTAAAAGCCATTCCACGCCAACAACCAGCTGTCAGATTATTAAACCTTGCTCACAACTCCAAGCGCTTCAATTTTCTAGATGTTCTTGACATTTTTTTTTTTAGCTTTTCACCACGTTAGTTCATAGTGTTTTGTCTGGAAGTACTTTCTTGTTGTGTATTTTCGGTTTGTATTCTCGTGAATTGGATTCTCTTGTCCTTTGAGTTGACAAGAAATGTACGTTTTTCTCATTCCTTGCCCTTTGCAAGTGCTTCCTGTTTCTCGCCTTCTCCTGGTTCTTTGTTTTCAGCGTCCTTCGGTGTACTTCGTCGTTCTTGTTTGTTAGTAAATAAATATATTTTTGTCAAAACTTCTTATTTGTGTTTACGATTGTGGTATCCCAATCCTGTCTGGAATTTTTTCAGAAACCAAACAGAATGTAGCCAAACACTGTATAGGCTATTTTAATATTATTTAATTTTATCATAGTTGTTATTTTCATATTGTGAAATACTAATGTCGAGTTGCTTATCAATAACACATTAAAAATATAATGCTTGTCCTTTGAGTTGACAAGAAATGTACGTTTTTCCTCATTCCTTGCCGTTTGCAAGTGCTTCCTGTTTCTCGCCTTTTCCTGGTTCTTTGTTATCAGCGTCCTTCGTTGTACTTCATTGGTCTTGCTTGTTAGTAAGTAAATATATTTTTGTCAAAACTTCTTATTTGTGTTTACGATTGTGGTATCCCAATCCTGTCTGGAATTTTTTCAGAAACCAAACAGAATGTAGCCAAACACTGTATAGGCTATTTAATATTATTTAATTTTATCATGGTAGTTATTTTCATGTTGTGAAATACTAATGTTGAGTTGCTTATCAATAACACATTAAAAATATAATTATGTCATTTTTGTTTGATTGATGGCCAGTCTTACTGCAAGAGCCAATCAGTAAAAGAGTAAAAAGACTCACTTGACTTGATGATGCAGGTGAAATGTGTCCTTTTCCAGAAAGTGCGTTGCGGAAGACAAGACGATTTCATGCAGCAGGTTTTTCAGTGAACTGTTAACACAAATGTAAAATGGCCATCGGCACGTGAACTGTTAACTCAAATGTAAAATGGCGATAGGCACAATAACATTCAAATAAAGTAAAACTACTCACCATTTGATGACAGGTGACGGGTGCGTCGCTTTTTCGGGAAGTTGGTCGAACAAGTTAGCCAATGTATTATTAGCAATATACATTTTAATGACGCCTAAGGATAATAAAATCATTTTACCTTTTTTTAAATGTAAAAACGAGCAAACAACTTACATAAAATTAGCGCTTAACAGAAGCACGTGAACTGTTAACTCAAATGTAAAATGGCGATAGGCACAATAACATTCAAATAAAGTAAAACGACTCACCATTTGATGACAGGTGACGGGTGTGTCGCTTTTTCGGGAAGGTGGTCGAACAAGTTAGCTAATGTATTATTAGCAATATACATTTTAATGACACCTAAGGATAATAAAATCATTTTACCTTTTTTTAAATGTAAAAACGAGCAAACAACTTACATAAAATTAGCGCTTAACAGAATACCAGCACCAGGCCACCTAGGGCAGTGTAACTAAATCCTCACTAAACCAGTTAGCTATTTTTCACAGAGAACACAATGATGCTATTCGTTAGCTACTCTGTCTATGCCAGTGGTGTATACTGTCAGGCACAGCAATTAAATGCTCTGCCATGAGGTAGCACATTTTGTCACGTCTTTATTTGGTGGCGTGTTGTTCTGTCAAATGTTTGCCTTGACTCAAAGTTTGCAAAACGCCGATGTAGGGAATATTTACTCACTACACATTCAAACAGCACCAGAAAATGGTGAATTTACCATACAGGGCATTGCATGGTGGATAGAGAGTGATTTCCATCACAGGCTATGTGCGTCAGCCATGCCGCAGCAGCCCCACAACTGGCAGGAGCTGGATCCTTCCTCCCGTTACATAAGATGCACAGAATGGAGGCGAGGAAGAGCAAGGAGGGGGGAAACTAAAATGGAAGGGAGGAGAGGGCATGTCATTGGTACAGAGATGCAGAGGAAGACATGTTGTTGGAAGAAAAAATAAATCACAGGCTTTCACGTGGAGGAGGGAAATGAAACAGGATGAAACACCATCTTCCTCTTTGTTCAATTACTACTGAATACGATAAATTTTGTGACTTTCCAAGACAGAAATCATCCACCCACGAATTTTCTATAGTCCTTGTGATCAATATTGAGGTACCGATCATCATTGAACCTAGAACGTCTCAACTCTTGAGGCAGAAGCATCAAACCACATTACATCAAATGGAAAGCGCTTTAGCTTAGTGCTAACAAATGTGAAACCCAATTGACAGGCTAAAGAAAATTAGCATTAAAGTTGCGGTAGTTGTCAGCTTTCAAAGAAATGCTACTCGGGACACACACAGAGTGGCAACGCATACAACGAGCGATAGAAAAAAAAAGGAAACGAAAATAAGCTTCTTCTTCTGCTTGCTGTTATTTACACTGCACATCTTCCAGTAGTTCTCAGTGCTGCCCGGCATGTTGTGGCACAACGTGGTACTACGCTGGAGGCGCACAACTCCAAATTTGCCTCTACACCGATTAAAAAGACAAACAAACCCCCCACCCCGAATAAATAAACCGTTAAAAAAACTACTTACAAATAGGGTGTGAACAACAAACGGTGACATTGTGTCCATTGTATTGTTAAGTTGTATTTCTATATTGTGACTCACGTTCAACAAAAAATTTAATTAAAAAAAAAAAAAAAAAAAAGATTCGTGGGATGTCCGGCATCTTGTGCTTGCGTGTAAAGGTCTGCTTTGTGATTTTCGCAAGTGACTGCTCACATGTGATTGCGTGCGTGTTGCCACTGGCTCTTGTGTGTGTGTGTGTGTGTGTGTGTGTGTGTGTGTGTGTGTGTGTGTGTGTGTGTGTGTGTGTGTGTGAGTGTGTCCTGCAGCCAGAGCAACCATCTGTGTGAGGAGTGACAGTGTGACACGGGGGCCGTGATGGCACTGGGGGGGGCAAGGTCTTCCTGCCTCATGTTGTGAGGGTCCTCACTGTATTCTTTCTTACTCGCTCATTAAGAGGTGACAAAGACGAAGAGCGGGGCCGAATTCAAAAGGAAAACATGAGACAGAGGAGGAGCTGTCCACTCCGCTTAATACGGACGAGCGAGCGCTCTCTCGTCTCCGTCAAGATGGGGGAGGTAACCATGGTTACCGGCGGGGCTGGCCGGGATAACAGCGCTTTTCGGAGGAGCTCAAGTGCGTCTTGAATGTGAAGGTGGGGTGCAAATCACAGACCACTGTTTTGGTCTGTGTCTGTGTGTTTTGGTGACTCATCTCTGGTTCAGCCTGAGGTGTGAGTGCGGGCGTGGGTATGTTGGGGGGCGTTGGGGTTTGAGCGGGTGCGAAGGCTCCATGAGGGAAACGGGGGGGGGGGGCAAGAATTTCAGCGGGTGTGGGGGGGGGGGGGGCAAGAATTTCAGCGGGTGTGCAGCCCTGCGGGACACATGAAAGAGCCGGATACACATGAATATGCACCATGCGTGCATATTAGAAGACTCCGGAGGTGGCAAAGACATGAATAGTGATCACTTACTTTCGGTGGTAAACAAGCGCGACTTAAAAATCACAATTGTGCGCTGGTTTGCATGTGTCGTGTCACCAGTCACATCATCAGGTACACATGCACAATGTGGTGACATACAAAATTGGACCTTTGCGAAGAAAATGATGCCAAGATTGAGTTGACACTATCAAAGTAGTGTGACACTCCTTTAAAACATGCATGGAGTGGTTTCAGCACCGCGCGCCCAAAAAAATAAAATCAAATTTTTAAAAAGCATATAACACTTAGGAGTGGTTAATCATTCATTCCTGTATTCTCCAATAGACTAAATTATATCTGTTGAAGGTGATTTGAGGCAAACGGCTTCACGGTATTTATTATGCCATCAAAAAGAACGTTTCTAATCCTGGTGTTCAGTTTTCATGCAGTTCGATGTCCAGTGATTTCGATCTGCAAATAAAGGCTGGAAGCCTCTTGCCTGCCTATTTAGCGATTGCAAGATTCAAGACTGTAGTTCTTGGTTCTGGCACTCTGGTTTGTTTTTATCTTACGATTCAGGATTCATGTATGGGCATTGGCTCCCAAATCTCTTCTTTCCAAAGTCTCCAGAGACAACTAGTTTCTCCCTTGAAGAATTCAGCTCAATTTTATGACATCATCTTGAAAGAGTATGATGTAATTGAAAAGCTGTGTCATATGGACTACGTGTCATTTATAACTGCAAGGCCATTTTGGAAATGGCTGATACATTTCATAATCTTCAATTCCAAAACAAGATGAATGTGCTGTTTCCGATGAGAAATACAACAAAATCATAATTTGGGGATAAAGGCTGTGACTGTCAAAGTAACCTTGTTGAATTTTGTCGGTGACATCAGCATGCCGGCATGGCTAAAACGGAGTTCAGCTTTGCAATCGGCTTCTATGTTTTTGTGGTTGCGAATGTGGTGAATTGGCCTTTTAAAGGTTCATAAAAGTTCCAATTGAGCTCTTTCCGGTCAAAAACTGCGTCTGGAGTCTTTCACAAGTCGCTCCTGTGCTTGGCTTCCTCCTGCTTTTATTACGGCTTTTACGAGCACAATCTCTGTTTTGGAACATTTTCCCCTCCCTCACATACCTTTGCCTTGTCTTGATTGTTTTTCTCAAAGAAATGGCGTTCCCCTTGGTCCTGTTCCTGCTGCTGCTCACCCGCGGGGCTATGGGTCAAGACCCCGAGGACCCGGAGGCGCTCCCCACAGGCTGCGGTTGGGGCCTTGGGCGACCCTACACCCTCCTGTGCGACCTGGACGCCGTATGGGGCGTGGCGGTGGAGAGCGTGGCGGCCGGCGGTACCCTGGTGGCCATCCTGCTGGCTTTGATCCTGCTGTGCCGCCTGCGCCACATCGGCGAGCCCGAGAAGCGCAGCGGCGTGGGGCCAGTCCTGCTGCTGCTCCTGGGCGTGGCGGGTTTGTTCAGCCTGAGCTTCGCCTACCTGATCGAGCGGGACGAGTCGCTGTGCGTGCTGCGGCGGGCCCTGTGGGGCCTCCTCTTTGCCCTTTGCTTCTCTTGCTTGCTGGTGCAAGGGGTCCGCCTGCGCCGGGTGGGCCGCGAGCACCGCAGCCCCGGCGGCTGCGCCCTGACGGGCCTGGCGTTGGGTCTGAGCGCCGTGCAGGGCATCATCGCCGCCGAGTGGCTCCTCCTGACCGTGCTGAGGGAGGGCCAGGGCGCCTGTCAGTACCTGCCCATGGACTTCTCGCTAGCCTGCAGCTACGTGCTGGCGCTGCTGCTCGCCGCCTTGACTGCCGCCGCGCTGGCCCTGTGCGGCAAGACGCGGCAATGGCGCTGCAATGCCGTCTGGCTGCTGGTCACCTGCCTTCTCTCGCTGCTGCTGTGGGTGGCATGGGTGGGCTTCTATCTATACGGCAACGACTGGCTGAGGAAGTCGCCGGAGTGGGACGAGCCGGCGCTGGCCATGGCGCTGGTGGTCCAGGGTTGGCTGCTGCTCATCTTCCACGCCATTCCCGAGGCGCACATGTGTATGAAGCCCCCACCGCAGCCCACCGCGCCGGACTACTTCGACACGTCGCAGAACTCCACGCGGATGAGGGAGACCAGCTTCGACGAGGACATCCCGCTTTCTCACAGGCAGTTTGTGGAGAACCAAGGCTACGGATACAACGACGAGAACACCGCAGGTATGTTACAGTCACGACTTTTAGCGGCACCATTTTAAGTGAATAACTGACAGCGTAGAACCAAACGAGAGCGAAGTAACTCAATTTTTTAAAGGAGTGATTCCATGTTTTATGGCTCCAATCAAATTTGGGGGATTTATACATTGGTGATTTATGCGGCAAGGGTTTCTTCTTCTGGATATCGTACAGGAAATGTGTGGCAGATTCTGGCATTTTGCCAAATATTATTTTGGACTTGGCTCACCCTGTGCTGCTTCGCATTGTCTGTTTCGCTTTCACTATGATTCATATGATATCATGTTCACTTCCTTAGGTTGTATTGTGATCATTATCATCGAGGAAAACGGTTCAGTGCAAATAGCGGCCTAAATCCAAACATCCATTAAATCCATCAATAATTCTTTGATGAGGATAAATAACATCCATTTACTTCCTGAGTCTGCCATCAATCTCGGACTCACATTTGAAAGTTTTTGTGGGAGTTGAAGGCTGGTTTCATAGGTTCGGCTATCTTAGAAATGGGAGTTCCTCTGACCTTGCATTGAAGGATCAAGAAAAGAGTCTAATTAATGGACTGTGCCCTGTATTTCAAAATTGGAACCAGACCATTTGGAGCATTAGTCATCTGAGAAATATGTATTTCTTTCTTTGTTTCTTCCAATTGTATTTATATATAGTATATAGTATATATTATATAGTATATAGTAATTAGGGCCCCACTTTTATTATTTGACTGCTTTTATTTTATTTATTTTTTGAGGCCAATACAGATTCCGGTATTTGGTGGAAAAAAAATCCCAATAACCAATTAATGGAGCGATTAATACATAAAATGTATACTAATATAAAGAATATATAAATAGATATTATAAAATAACATATTTTTTGATCTATTGAGGATTACAACAACCAAGCAAGACAAGCAAAATCAATCAGAGTACCTTGCTAAACAACTGAGAAAAATGGTCTAAAATCCCCAAAATTTAGCAAATTTAATAACGGTTTAATTATCTTTGTCTTATGTCGTAATAACATAACATAACATAACATAAACAACTGAGAAAAATGGTCTAAAATCCCCAAAATCTAGCAAATTTAAGAACGGTTTAATTATCTTTGTCTTATGTCGTAATATGAAAATATAGATTTTTGCCAATTTGAAAAGAACAAATAACTTAAATCTTCCGGCTATATCATAATCATAATTGATAGTAGTTACATCTTATGAAACCAGTTTATTTCTTTGTTTTTATAATATATAGTGCCACTGTTCTTAAAACCATGTTTAAAAAAAACTTTGGAGGGAGTGGGACTGGAACAGATTATCGGTACCTCAATAGATTTCAGGGGAGTAAATTGATTTGATATCCCACTAGTACATTAAGTTACATGCTTGATTAGGGAATTAATTCAATGTGAATGGGCGGGGGGGGTTTGCACTGTATAATTACAGGACGCACTCAGCTCAAGATGTGTGATGACTCAGTCACAATCAGCGAATGACAAATGTTTCCTTCTAGGCCTGAGAAGCGGCGCCGGCAGCGCCGGCAGCGGCGGCGGTCAACACACCAACAACACGGGCGCCAGGCCGAGCGCCCCTTTCCGCAGCAACGTCTACCAACCCACCGAGATGACCATGATCCTGAACGGGGGAGCGGTGAGTACATCCTCCCAGTCGCAGGTACACACGCCAGCCGGCCGCCTGCCCGCCCGCCAACCGGACTGCATGCGCCATCACATGTGCGCCTCCGGATCATTCTGACAAAGCGAGGCTTTCAGCTGCAAGTGTCTGCATGTTCCAGCCAAGCCAATGGAAAGCTCTTTCAGCAGATTTTCAATGTCCTTGGGATCGAAGGCGTTTCAGCATTTATTCGCGATCCATCTTACGGTCCTTATAACCTACAGTACAACTTTGTGCAACCCCTTGTCTTAATGCCGTATTCTGATCAAAACTGCACTTGTGGAATAAGAATTAAGAAGAAAAATCCAGCCGTTTTTATCCATCTAACGCAGGGGTGTCAAACTCATTTCACATGGTGGGCCACATACGGCCTCGGTAGATGTCAAGTGGGCCGGACCATTAAAATGATACCATACTTTGCTATAAATAACCAAAACAATGTCTTTCCTTTGTTTTGGTATAAAGAAGCACAAGAACATTAGGAAAATGTTGAAATTTAATGAACATATCTTTTACAAAATATTTCATGAAGCACCTTACATTTCCTTCGACAAATGTGCAATTTACTTTTATCATTCACATATATGCATTGCAAATGATCCCACTGATTGTACAAACATTAACAAGTAATTGGTATTGAAAAATATAGTAATGCACTTTAAGATTAAACGAGATTCATAAAGAAAGGAAGTTTTAAACCATTTACACGTGCATATAAAATCTAAATGTAATCTTACAAACTAAGGAGAGTGCTATTAAATGTATAAATGTGAGAGTGCTATTGATAGCGTCTGCTGTCATGGGTCTGTCACAGTGACGGACTGAGGCTGCTGTTGTCTTCTTCTCTGATCAAAACAGTGTCCCCTTGCGGATACTCAATGAATTGCACCTTATTAAAAAATATTAATTCTGTCTTTAATGCATTTTTTTCACTTTTAAATTATCCTGTGGGCCTAATTGAACCTCCTTGCCGGCCGGTTCCGGCCCGCGGGCCGTATGTTTGACACATGCTTTACATAATCATCTCGCGGGCCGGATTAAACTCCTTTGCGGGCCGGATCCGGCCCGCGGGCCGTATGTTTGACACCCCTGATCTAACGGGTCGGCCATTTTGCCTCTTGCCGTCGACTGAAAATGACATCACAGTGCTCATGTCTCAGTTCGTCAATGTCACATTACCAAACCCAGAAAACAGCTGAGTTGTGACGGTCGCAACCTGAGCCCGTAGGCGCTGTGATGTCATTTTTGGTCGACAGCAAGAGTCAGTACAAAGCAAAATGGCCACCCCTGAGATGAATCCAAATCTTCCTGCTTAATTCATACTGCACAAACGCAATTTTAGTCACAGCACAATGTTTCGAACAGATTACTGGAAAGGAAATATTTAACTTGACTTCCCCTTTAAGACTGTCCGATGGCGGCAAAGCACTACATGCGGCACCGCAACAGACTTCAACAGAGGCCCTTGGCATCAAAAAGCCAAAGGATGCTGCCAAAGCAACACTCCTTTTACTATTAGGAAGCACGTTTTTCAAATGGGCAAATTTGACAATGCTGAACTGCGACTACTCACTGAATTTGTACAGTCTTGAGACAACTCCGTGTACTAGTAGAACAATGAGGGCACATGTGTGGAATGACGCTCTTACTAGTAACAGTTCTACTGCTAGTGCAGGGGTGTCAAAGTCATTTTTGTCACGGGCCACATTGTAGTTATGGTTTCCCTTGGAGGGCCGTTATGAATTTTGGGAAACCATATTCCATTTTTAATCCCCTCCACATGTTACATACAGAACGCACCACAAATTAATGAATAACTAGTTTTAAAAACAGAAGTCAAGAATAATGACTGTTAATGTGGATTACATATGACAATTTGAAATATTGGTTCATGGAACTTGACATGCTTGATTTGCTTTCGCGGGCCACATAAAATAATGTGGCGGGCCAGATTTGGCCCCCGGGCCTTGACTTTGACACCTGTGTGCTAGTGCCATATTTGGCCTACTAGTACAAAGCTTGATATCAATGATATCAATTAGCTTCGGTATCCTTGATATCCTGCCTAAAGCTCATACACACTACAACGATGCTTTTTTTCATCACGAATGGTACAATTTTTTTGCAGACGATGAAGACATTAGTGAGGCAAAACTGTTCACTAGTAGATATCCATGCACTACTAGTTCCTGACTAGTAGAACTTTATAATGCCACAGTTTTACCACACTATTAACATGTAGTTGCGCTACTAGTGAGCAAGCACGCTGACCTTACATAGACTATCAAGAGTATCAAATATGCTCCGATGGGTTTAGGAAAAGCCGTTTCAGCATCTATTTGATATTCTTGATTGACAACTACTGGCTGTCCACTGTTGTAACCGCTGTCCCTGAAAGGGTTAATGGCATGCCGATGTCCTATTTACTGTGCCAAAGGTGTCTTAGTGCGCAGTAATGGCATACAGGAGTGCAAAAAACATCACTAGTGGGACACATTTGTTCTATTCGTGTGTCACCACTGAATTGTGTGCATACCAGTACATTGACCTGAAGCTAGGTATCAAGGATTTAGAATCACCGCTCAAATGGCTTTCCATGGAGGCGTCCGTTTTGTTAGCATATGCACGAATGAGCTTGGACACAAACGGTAACGCCGTTGACATTGATTTGTGTGCGCAACGCTATCTGTCCTGACGCCCATTCGACACAACGAATGGCTGCTCTGACTTTGCATTTTAGCTGCTACCCAACAACAGAGGCGCGGCGCAGATGCGAGGGCAACACCGGCTAAAATATTGCAGCTTGTCACTATTTTTAGTGCTGTATTGTCGATCGTCTTTGACTGCCGAAAGGCTCCAAACAAATCCGCCTCACACGTTTACATATTCAAGCTAAAACATGCACTTAGGAGCTTTTTTTTCTTTTTTTCACGACTCACAGTGAATGTAAACAACATACCGCATCATGCTTGGGACTGTTTTTTTTTTTTTTCAGATGGAATTTGAACCTTAGTCAAAGTGGAAGGAATAAACAGCTCCAATACCTGGCATGCAGTCTTATCACAAAACCTTCAGGCAACTACTAGAACAGCTGAACTTGATTCGGGACGTGCGTTGCCTCCCCTTTACCATGAGGATGAATGTGATTGGTTCATGTTGACAATAAACACATTATACCGCTTGACAGACTTAACCTAAATCCCTTTTGTGCCACACCCTGCAGGTGCCCTCGGCCCCTCCCACCTACACGGGGAGGCAGCTGTGGTGAGTGGAGGGAGATCGCACGAACGACGAGGGGGCGGTGCGGAGTTTCGAAGGGGAGGCGAGCGTACTTCAAAAAAAAAAAAAAGACAAGGATGCCACTTTCACTCTGTACAGACTCTGTGCCAATCAAATACTGTGTGTAAAAAGGAGGCCATGGAGGACAGAGCTAAATGTCTTCAAGCACACAAATGTGGAAAGAAGGCCATTGTGACCAGTAGACAGTGAAAGAAAAGCGGCAAAAAAGGAAAGCAACACGGCTTTTTCTTTGGCTTGACTGCAGCACTGTAAAGCACCCTTAAAACTGTGAATATCCTTCATTTAGCTCTGTCCTCCATCAGTTCTCACCGTGTCAACAACAACAACAAGCACCCCTCTCCCCCATGCATTTTTTTTTTTTTTGCATGGACACGAAAAGTGACCATACAAAAAAAAAAATACATCACCTATCCAGAAACGCTGGAAGCGAGCATCCCGACCGGCGCCTTGGTGAATCTAGGCCAAACGCAGGGGAATTTTATCACTACGGGAGAAAATGGAGCGCATTCGTTTCTGCGACGGCACTATATTTAGAGCAACGTGTGTGCAGATTTGCAGTGCGAGGGAGCAAAATGAGGAGGGAGGATGCAACTGTGGAATCGTCCTTCCTTCCGTCAGAGAAAATGAGTGGGAGCGGCTCTCTTCCTCTTCCTCTTTCTCCTGCCGTCTGGAGGACGACTCTCGAGTCTGTCTCCATTTCAATGCTGCTTCTCCTTCATCCTGTCACCGACTTGTACTGGAGGAGCTGTGTACATACTCAAGTAGTGATGTGTACTGTATATACATTACATATACATACAAAAAAAAAAGCCAGATTGCTTGTTTACTTTTTAATTATGAATTAACCCTGGTCTAATTAGACCAGTGTTTCCCAACCTTTAATGGGCCAAGACATAAATCTTACAAAAAATTCTGTCCCCTGAAATAATGATAAGCTTGTCTCAAATGTCTTATTGACTTCAGTTGGTGTCAAATCTGAGCCTGTTTCGTCGAAGTTTGTGGGATCCCAAAATTGAGTTAATGAAATAACCGAACTGTTTTAAGAGAGTACATTTCACGTGCATATGTTTTGGACCATATGCAGAAGTTTTTTAAAAAAGTATTTGATTGCTACTTAGCGTATCTGCTGTATTGCGTGGATGTTTTGGTATTTAACTCCCACGATAAATGAAGGATTACTGTATTTTATTCTGTTGTCTGAATGGCCACAACCCAACACGTAGGTTAATTGCACCTTCTGCCATCTAGCGGAAGAGCATTTAATTGTCCTGCCTGTTACTATACATTGCTGGCAGAGATAGATGAACAAAGGTGCAATATTCATACTAAATCATTTTCACACTCATGTGCTAAATGGTTGGGATTCACTGGTTTAAATGCATAATTTAACATTGTCAATTGCTAATTTCATTTGAATTCCTTTTAAAATGGTTGCTTTGTATTCATGCATTTGCGTGCTCATACATTCTTTCTTGAAACTTTTGTATACTTTTTTTTTAGGCCAAAATATTTGAAGTCCAGTCAGTGGTCTTTTTCTTCTCTGTGCATCAGTGTGGGAAAAAAAACAGCTATAAATAATTTGCAGCACTTCATGCAGGAAGAGAGACGAGACTGAAATACTGTTCACAGTTGAAACAAAAATCAAAGCGGCGGAACGGGCGCAGTGGAGCCCTCACAGCAACACATGACTAAGAAAAGGCCGCCGCAGATTTTTTTTTTTTTTTTTTTATGTCTGTTTCTAAAACAGGAGCGATGACACGGCAGGCCCAAACACTGTTTGTCCTGCTACATCGCCAGGGTTACATGAACAGGCCCGACATGGGTTACAGGAACATGGGTTAATGGGGTCTACAGGAACAGGATTTATCACAAGCTACAGGAACACAGGTTATTATAAGGCACAGGTTAACAGAGGTTAAATGGGCAACGGTAACATGGGTAAGCATTTGCTACAGGAGCAAGGGTTAACATGGTCTGGAACAATAGTTAACCATCACAAAGAACATGGGTGCAAAACATGGGCAACTGCAACAGGGGTTCACAGACAGGAACAGGATTGAACATGGCTCCAGGGGCAAGTTAATATAAATGGCTACAGAAACGGGTGAATAGAGCAGGCTGCAGGAATAGGCACTAAAATGGCATATACAATTAGAGAGTTAACAAAATGGGCTACCAGAAACCTGGAGTTAACATCTGCAACAGGAACAAGGGTGGTTACAAGAGCAGGGGTTAATATAGTCAGGAATAATGCTTAGCATGAGCTACAGGAACAAGGTTGATGTCACAGGCTGTCGAAACAAGATTCATCTCATTAACTGCAGGAACAAGTGAGCATGAGCAAGGGATGAGACACACAAACAAGGTTTCTTTCATGGGCTTCAGGAACAGCAGTTAAGACCGCCGACAGGAACAAGGATAAAGATCACATGGTCAGGAACCGTGGCAAATGGGACCATGGGCAACAGGAACAATGAGTGACAACATGGAATACAGGATACAGGGTCAACATGAGCTACAGGCATGAGGCTACAGGGACAAGGTTGACGATCAGCTCGAGCTAGAGGAACAGGGGTTAACATGGTCAGGAACCATGGTTAACTCATTCACTGCCAGTCATTTTAGAGCATTTTGACAGATCATTCAAGTTAGTTTCCATCCCCAAAAAACAGTTTCTGACCCAAAAGTGGTGAAACACTTGATGCGTCTGCGTGTGAAAACGAACATGTCAAGCAGTAAACTTGGTGACAGTATTTTTTTTTGTGGTTGTGACACCTCAAACTATAAAACTGATAAAGGGTCACTCCACGTCTGTTGCTAACCAAAACAGCAGCACATACCTTTCTGTGATGGCTCAATTTCAATGGTTGTTCGTTGTTTTACATGACGTTGATCATTTACTCGATGAGCATGTCATCTGTTCTCATTCTCTCCAAAGACATTCTACTAACTACTGCAACATATACTCTGTTCGCACGACATTTCCTTCTCTGTTCAAAATTAAGGTGCCTAAACCTGTTTGGCTTCCAACGTGTTGGCATTTCTTCCCCCTTGTAATTGGTATGACAAGTTGATATTCATCCCCTAATCTTTATCTTCAACTCAGAAACTGTGCTGCTCTCAACTCCAGAGGCATGCAATGCTTTAGTCACTACAGTGGTTTACAAATCTAAATTTCCAAAGGCAGCGCGAGCGAAACCCTCTTCTGTATCTACCTGTTGAAAAACATCTGGCGACGTATGATGAATACATTCGTTGGTGGCAGGAGACGGTAGGGCTGCACAACACTAGAAAAACATGCGATACGAGTGCTGAAAATTGCGATATCACTATTACTGCAATATTATTATTATTATTATTATATTTCTAAAAAAGTGACATTTTTATTCTCTACATTGTAAAAACTAAAAACAGTCATTTAAATTGGAAAAAACTTTCCAATAAAAAATGTAAAAAGAAAGTTGGTTTCACTTATATCGTTAAGTCGGGTATTAATAAAAGGGACAACCGTTCTGTCAACTCGTTTCTTGGCTGTGAAATGCAAGGCAAGCCAATTTTGACAGCAGCCAAACTTTAAAAAAATGTACCTGTCCAAATTTAAAAGTTCATCGCCATGAAATTTTGAGACCAACCAAAAAGAATGACGATATATTGCGATATATTGTGCAGCCCTGGTAGACGCTCACATGTCCACCGCAGTGAATGAGTTAACGGCAGCAACGGGAACAAGTGTTACGGGAACAGGGTTTATCATGGCATACAGGAAGTCAAGAGTTAACATACAGGCACAAGGCTAAAAAAAAAAAAAAAAAAAAAAAGCACAGACGATACGTGAACATGCGCACGAGTCAACGCCGATGACGTGAACGAGTCTTGACTCGAAGTGTCAAAGCGTCATCGGGAGACATTTTCAACACTTGATGTTTTCACTCAGTGTGACGTATTGAAAAAAAAAAACAATAACATGACTTTGTAGATTTTGCACTGTTGACTACCTACAGTATGTGTGCATGCTCAGCGCCATTTCTACATGTGTAAGACCTTTCAGACGTGCTTTTGAATACTAGCTATTTATGTGGAGGTCATGTGACAACCATCTTCTCGTTGTACGTTGGATGACACGTTCAAAGGAAGCAGATTCTTCAGCTTCGCATCAGAAGGCAAATGGGTCTTTCAAAAAAAAAAATCATCGCTTGACCCACTACAGACTTTGAAAGGGGGTTACAAAATGTTCCACCTGATATATCATGTCCGTGATATAAATGTGGTGAATTTGCACAACATTTCTATGTTAAGTGGAGGTGGTGGATGGGCGGTTTTGGGTGAGGGGGCAGGTCACCGTCACGTATGCTCCCCCAGGTTTTGACTCGTCCTTGCCTGTCCTGTCCTATTTTTGTGTGTTGCCTTCAGACTGCTCTGTCGGGGCAGCTGACGGGTGTGATATTTGGTTTTCACAGCTGTGACTGTGCAGTGATGCAGCATGCCTACGTAGAGCTTCATTCATCCGCCCCTCCCCTCACCCCCACTATTAGCAAATTATGATAATGAAAAAACACACATAACTCTTTCTGTAACTAATTCAGGAAAAAAAATGTTCAATAAAGTGTCATGTTTAGGTACATTTGATTGGATGTGATTTTTTTAAACAGTTTACACATGATGATGTTCTCAGTATTAAAACTAAAAAGGTTTAATTTAACCACACACTTGTACTGTTCAATGATAAAGATTGTGATTTTGTGTTGCTGAAACGCGACAGTACACGCAATAATTACATGTTGCCTTTCAGTTGAAATGATTAGAGGTCCATACAATTACAATATTAGGATTCGATCGTGAAACACTTGCCATGCAGGTGAACTATCATTTGATTCCAAGCCTGTACATCAGGGCTGTCAAACTCATTTTAGTCGCGGGCCAATTTGGAGTTACACCTTCCCTCGGAGGATCGTTATGACTGTGAAACCACAAAATTATCACTTGTTCACAACAAATTAATAGATTACTAGTTTTGAAATAAATCAAGTCAATTATCATAGTGTGTTCAAT